CAAAGTACATATGGTACATATATATGTACAAGTTGCACTGTACGTGTCGCTGCACTTCCATTCGCAGTTGACGACAATTGGTTGATGACAGTCGGTTGATGACAATTGGTTGTTGACAATTGGTTGATGACAGTCGGTTGATGACAATTGGTTGTTGACAATTGGTTGTGAAAATTGGTTGTTGACAATTGGTTGATGACAGTCGGTTGATGAAAATTGGTTGATGACAGTCGGTTGATGACAATCGGTTGATGACAAATGGTTGTTGACAATTGGTGGGTGACAACTGGTTGATGACAGCCAGTTGATGAAATCGGTTGATGACAATTGGTTGTTGACAATTGGTTGTTGAAAATGGGCTGTTGACAATTGATTGGTGACAATTTGTTGGTGGCAATTTGTTGGTGACAATTTGTTGGTGACAATTTGTTGGTGGCAATTGGAGCGTAGCAATTGGTTGATGACAATTGTTGGTTGATGACATTTGGTGGAGGTGCGGAGCGAGGAGGAGGAGCTAGGGAGGAGCGGATACCAGACTAAAAACAAAAACCCCACACTCAAAAAATAATCCTTAAAAGAAAACGAACCCACACTCAGGAGAACAGGTCTACTCAGGACAGGACTTTAAAAGAACAATTCAAGACTCAAATCCAGACTCAAACACAGACTCAACGCCAGACCCAAATCCAGACTCAAATTCTCTGTTGCTGAGTCCGGAATTGCTCTTTTTCCTCTGTTCAACCTTCTGACATCGTGAAATTCCATGCGGGTCTTTTTTTCTGATTTCTATATTTTTCTATGTGGATTATTTGTTTAGTCTGGTGTTGGCTTCAAGTGCTTGAGTTCCAATTTGAGTTTGGTGCTGAGTCACCTGCTGCTTTCTGGGGGGGCTAGGCTAGGGTGGGCTGGAGCCTGCGTTTTCCCTCAGCAAAAAAACAAATCCAGACTCGAACCCAGACTCAAATCCAAACTCAAAAAACAGACTGACTCAAATCCAGACTCAAATTCTCTGTTGCTGAGTCCGGATTTGCTTTTTTTTCCTTTCAACCTTCTGCTACTTGAGTCTCCAGTTGAGTGTGTGTTTTTGTGTTTGGTCTTGAGTTCTGGTGTTGGGCTGAGTCTAGGTTTGTTTTTTTGGTGCGTGTTTTTATTTTGAGTTCCCGAGAGCGCATTTGCACATCTACATCCCTGCTCATCTTCACATCTTCACATCTGCACTGACCCCTCATTGCTTCATTTTCACCAACTGGCCAAGCCACTGCACTTGTCTTTCAAATAGTAAACCCTGGAAATCCAGAGTTAAAGACATGTTGGTTTACATGGTTCCAATCCACCCTGCCTCCCACCTCCCACAGTGTCCATGAGCCCAAGGTAAAGGAATGGTGTGTTCTCATCAACAAGGCATTCTTTTAGTTTGGCACCCTCTTGCCAGGTACCTGCCCAAACCTTTCAGTCAGTCCAAGTGGCCTGCCCAGTGGTAACCCCTAGAATCCAGGGCAAAACAATCCCAAAGTCATAATCAAACAAGATTTGGTTGCATCCATGAACATGTGTTAAAAGAGCAAACAAGTGAAGGAAATGAGAAAGGAAAGAAAAACGCCCTTCCGCTCCCCACCAACCCCACTCTGATGCCCAATGCGATGCCACCCCCGCATCTGCAGGAAGGATGTTCTCAGCGCTTGTTGGGTCCTGAAACCCCTAGTCGATCGAAGTGGCGTGCCCAGTGGTAGAGCTCCAAACCATTCCACTCAAGACTTTAATCAAACAAACTTTCAATCCCACACCAAGAACAAACGAGATTCAGCTTTCATTATGATGAAACTGACTGAATCCCACTACCCAATAACATGCAACTGTGATTGTAGCGGCATCATGGTGGTTGTGGGATGATACGCTCTGCATCGTCTGCATCCTAAAGAATTACAGTAAACAATTGAACAAGTTGGATGAAGGAGAGGAATTCACACTTTTGCAGTGCCAGAAAGAAAAATACACTTGTTCAATGCCAAGAGGTAGACACTTCATCAGTGCCACTGGAGGAAAGCCAAAGAACACAAAACGCCCTCCTGCCAACCGCTCCGATGCTCGACGGTGGCAAACCCAAGTAGTGAACACCGGAATCCAGATAAGTTTTTTAAGCGCAATATACCATATGCCTGGCTTTGGACCCTTGGATCATTTTGGACCCTTGAATACAAGGAAAATGCCTTTTGATGCCTTTTGTTGACAAAAAATGACAAAAGGTATACGACCCTAGGCGACTTCCTCGCAAGGGAATCCAAAATGAACCATGTCTTTTCTACATTGTCTAAGACATGTGCAACTACATGTATTGTTTCAGATTTAAATCATTTTAGGCCTGGGTCGTTCACGGCTCCGACCAGCATCAAGTAACTCCGAGGCCTCTGAGCTTGGCTGTTTGAAACACTTCTTCAAACAGACCGGAAATTGCACTTTGAACTGATTCACTCAGGAACTGTATATACGTCAAAATATATCACAAACATTTCGGGTTCCTGAGTTCAGCTGCCAGAAATGTCAATAGGTTGAAAGCTATCTTCGGCTTCTTCAACGCATCCGAACCCTCGCGGAATCCAAGCAATCAGTTGGCAGTTTTCCAAACTCTAGTCCCTTGGCCTTGAGGTCATCTAAAACTCTGAGACCCGAGTGCAAGCCTCGGTATTCTTAGCTTTGCAAATGCTGGATTGACCATCTTGCTATCATACTTGGAAGTGACTCCCCTAAGCTCTGGAGACGGCGTAAAGCAGAGGCTTTGCCTCCCTCCAGCCAACCTGTGGTGGCTGCGGATTGAATAGTTGTTTCTTTCACATGATTCATGTCACGTTGAGCGAGCTTGAGCACCACGCGGCCCAGGCCCAGATCAGCCGGCTCCTCCAAAGGGACCAAAGGAACTTCTTTCGTATCTTGTCGAATAGCAAAAAGATAAGGTAAGGATCTATGCTCCCCCTAGTAAGCATGATTTGAAACGGGCCGCGTAACGGGCCCAAGCACTGTATTTGTTTTCAAGATGTGCTCAGTAGCACCTGCATTCTTCTGGTTTATGAGAGCGCAAACCTGCACTTACTCGAGATATCGCCGATACTATGCAGCTCCAAAGTACCTCTCTTCTGTTCAAGTTTGTTCTTTTGTAGGCTAGGGCCAAATCAGATCGTGTATAAGATACCATTGCATTGGATGGGGAATGGTGTCAGGTCGCTTGGTGGCCTTGGTGGCCACTTGCTCGAACTCTTCCGTTGTAAGTTCCATTATCTTGTTGATTGCCCTCTTGTGAGGAAGAGGAAGACTTTCCCACGGTTTCGGATGCTAAATGACAATTCCTTTGCAGTACAGTAGAACCTGGTGAAAAGGTGCTGTGCGCCTCGAAGTCATTCACTTCTTCTGGCCTCCTTCAGCAAGCAAACGTTTTCTTGACTAGTTGACTAGTTCTTATGTGCCCAGGACATCCACCTCAGGCCAAAGACCGGCTTGAGGTCCGGCCTAAGACTGCGCATTTAAGATCAATTTCAGGAGCATCTTGAATCGTGCAGCACAACCCCCTGAGGTTTTCACAACTTCTCATTGAGCGCTGGAAGCTTTGTCGGTGGCTAGCACAATGCAAATGCAGCAATTGAGTGCTCTGCTTTCAGAACAATCTCCAATAAGCAACGTTCAAGGTCAACACTTACAAGAACCTCCAGGTAAATAGAGAAGAAACTAAGCTGGTTTAATTCTCAAATCAAAGCCGGTTGCTCTCTTCGTGCACCCACCAGCGGCAGCGGGCTCGGCCTCTCATATGAGAGGAGTGAGTTTCGAGAAGATTCACCCGGTTTCAGGCAGGGTGTAACTAACTGTATCCTGCCTAATTGGAGCGGCAACTTCATCGATGGGTTTCGGCACCCACCTTCTTCGTGGAGCCCTCATCGCGTGGTTTAGAAAAAGTGACTACGGCTATTGATGGGATTTCTTTAAATGCATCTGCTAAGACTCAAACGGAGGCCCCATTTGTCTTGTGCCGCCATTGCAATTGCACCAACGCTTTGAGCAATTCAATGCTTTCAGTTGCAAGTGTCAACTTACAAGAACCGTGTGTATGTGTATATATATATATAGAGAGAGAGATGCCTTTGATCATCAATGTTCTATTATTCTTGCATGTTGCGCAGAACCTCAGTATGGATGGAACCTGTTGTAGCCCAATTCTTCTGTGCAGCTCTGTCTTTTGAACCTGATACACTACAACAAAGTTCAAAAAGTTGCCAACGGTGTTGACCATCATGCTTCCTGCTACATCTTGGTGCTGACCAGCGGTGATCCATTCTGTCAATGTGGTCGCCAGGTGGCCTCTGGGACCCTCTGGGATGCCAATTAGCTCTAA